ACCACCACACCCCTACTAGCTTATCCCATGGCCTATGTTTTATCTCGCATATCCGTCCATTTTCAGCTTCTTGTGACCCACCACTCGAACTTCTGTTCGTTTGTATAACGCAGCCGAATATGTGGTCGTTCATCAATAGTTGCCTTTCCGCGGGGACGGGCTAGTTGGATCGACTTGGTACGAAGTATCCGGTCCGTGGTCGAGGCAACGAGAGTGAGGTGTGGTGAGTTGATGTTTGGTGTCTGATGTCCCTGTGATGATTGATTGGGGTGTGTATGCGGCTGAGAAGTGATGTGAGGCCGAGAGAAGCATGCAAGGATGTGTGATAGCAGCAGGGAGAGTGCGGTGGGCGTGTTGCTGATGCGTAAGTGTGGTTTGAAAAATTTGGTGTGTATATGTGAGTAAAGGTGTCGAGTGTCGGTGTCGTCTAGTGGTTAGGACGTGAGCTTAACACGCTCAAGATCGAGGGTTCGATCCCCTCCTCCGATATCTTCTTGCTGCTTTTTGCTGCTTCGTCGCACAGCGATTGGGGTGCCAGTTTCCGGGATGATGGTATTCGCTATGGTCATCTTTCCTTGTGCTACACGTAGCGATCGAACGATAGCTTAATGCCATCACGCTCGCGGCATCGTTGACAGCGGTAGTGCGCAAGGAGGCAGATGAGAGAGACCGCTGCAGACATCGCTGCCATGAAAGTTTGTGGAAGCGTATGAAGCGATGGGAGGGTGGCCAGGAGGAGGGTTGGTTGGTTGGTCACGGAAGGCTGTTGTGAGGTGTGTTGCTGCAGAAGTTGCGTAGTAGGTTGGATACGTGGAATGTGGTGAATGTGTGATATTTGGTCAAATTCTAACGACAGCTTGGCCGAGTGGTTAAGGCGATAGACTAGAAATCTATTGGGGTAACCCGCGTGAGTTCAAATCTCACAGCTGTCGGACCTATATTATCTTGCTCTTTTGCGTCACCGCCTTTTCAACATCACAGCCTTGCACGTCGCTCTTTGGACGCTACGTATATGACAAGTCGCTGTTGGTGCTGCTTCCCACCACCACACCCCTACTAGCTTATCCCATGGCCTATGTTTTATCTCGCATATCCGTCCATTTTCAGCTTCTTGTGACCCACCACTCGAACTTCTG